CCAGGTTTTCCGCAAACTGAGCTGCTTGGTTCATTTGTTTCACCAAGAATTCCACTTCCTGTTTAGCCGAGTTAATTTTAGAGAGTCTCGACACGTGTGTTACCTCGATGGATTCCAATGCCTCTCGCTCGCGCTCTCGAATATCTGCGATCATTTGTTCAGCTGATTGCTTGACACGTAGCTTAGCCGTTACCATATTGCTTTTTAGCTTAGAAATGGTTTCTTCAAACTGCTTTATGACTTCCCGGAGCTCACTTTCCATTTCCTTGATCAATTTAGCGTCCGACATGATGTTATCCTTTTCCTCGTGTGCTGCTTTGTCGAGCCCAACAACTTTATGGTTTTCATGATCCGTGACTATGCAAATTTGACAAATGCAAACTTGACACTGCGAGCAAAAAAACCGTGCAATTTCTCTTTCGTGGAACTGTTGAGAACAAAACGGTTGTCGCCTTAACAATGCTTCGTAATCTTCTGTTTTGAAGTCTTGAAGTGGCGTGACTTTGTGTCCTTGAAAAGATTTCTTGAGCACTTCATGTGCGTTAAAACAACCAGGGCACATGAATCGTCCGCAATCGAAGCAGTAGTACATCTGAGAGTTGTTTGCACCGCATTGACAACAATTAATGCTACTTGCATCATCAGTCTGTCGAACAGCGAGAAGACTCAACAAATTGTTATGAAAAAAGCTGTTGGGCAAACGGTCGAAGCGATTTCCTTCTGATAAATCGATCGCTGCCTGACACTCGGGACATCGGAATTTTCCCTTTTTCTGGCTCACTCTTGCATGTTTCGCCAAACATTCACAGCAAAACGTGTGAAGACATGATATAGTTTTAGGCTCGGTGTAGGTATCGAGGCAAATCGAACAAGTAAGTTGTTTCTTGAGATTTACCAAAAGCGATTCCATCAGTATTGACAATAATTAAAAACGATATATGTAAGCGACGTTCAAAATTGAATGATCAGTTTATTTCAGATTCCTGGAAAACAGAACAAAGTCCGTTTCAGCTGGTTGCCTGTAGCCAATCACCTTCCTAAGCTCAGTTAAGCCTCTGTAACGTTATATTGTCTATCTGAAATGAGTCTTAACCTGTTGTCTGAGAGCTTTATTTTTGGAAAGTCTGCAAAAATGGTCAAGGTTAACAA